ATTTTTTTAATGTGATAAGCCGGTAAACGATTTCACCGATCACCTGATGATAAGCCTGGAACACCAGAGGCGTTACAAGTGCGTAACCAGCCTTTTAGGATTAGGATTTTGAGGATTGTTAGGGGTACAGGGATTGGGGAGATAGGAGACGGGAGTAATTGGGCCAATGAGTAATGTATTTGGTACCTTTTAATAGTTTATTTCATATGTTTCTATTATTCAATAATTTATCTGTAACCATCATCAATAATAGACTGTTGATATGGTGGCTAGGCAACCGGCTCCCGCGCAACGTGGCGCGTGTTCGATTTCAGAACGAAACAGCTCTTAGTGTGATCCACAAATTGTTTTTCTGAGTGACATGTATATGTGAACTTGTATATTTGTAAACGCACCCATGATACTGCAGAAAATGCTTGTACAACATTTTTTTTTTAATATGATGTAATAGTCCACTGCTGTACTATAAGCCTTCTCTACACAAATAACAAGGTTAGCCATTATTAAAACCTAATTAGTGTCTCATAAATACAATTACAACACTTTCACTACAAAACATAAATCACAATAAACAGTCCTAGGTACTAAACCCTAACGAACTAAAGTTCTGAATTATAACAATAGAGATGCTCCCACGCGCCACGTGAACTAATCGATAACAATCGATTTAAATCTCGATTAGATGTTCCGATATTCCATTTAGATGCGACATTGTTCTTTGACTTCTTTTAAATTGTAATTGTAAGTATTTAATTAATTTGTCTCATTAATTTAATTTGTCACATCAGTATCTGGAATTCGAAATGAAATTGAAATTGATATTCTTATTTTGCTCCCGGCTCAAATGCAATTGTTAAACATATTTTAGTGAAACATTTATACCTACATAAGAGGGAAACAAGAGCCCTAAACTAAATCAGATATTTGTATTATCGGCCACCTGGGCACTACATTATTAGTATCTAGGAGTACAGATATACAGATATACTAAAAGAAGTTCTCAAGAGTTTTACAAATGTCATTCTCGAGCTGAAAGTTCTAGTTTTTCGATTTAGCAAGCACCTATCTCTAAATAATTAAACCAAATTCATAACCTCATGGTCCAATTCGGATAGGTTAGTAAAAATATCGTCAATTTAGTATCTATCTCAATTTATATTATAACTTTCTTGAGACATACTAAATTAATTATTATATTTTTGGCTTACTCACGTGATTATTTGACTAGGAACTCGACTAGTTTCAAGCCCTGCTAGAGGTTTATATTCAGGTGAGTAGCAGCGCGACACCACTGCGTCGCGGGTCACGGAATGCTGCTCATTAAACTGCAATATTATTATCTCAACTGTACTAATAGGCAAGCAAAGCGCTTGTAACTCTGTTGCTGTTTCTTATGGTGAAGTGAATGTCCATGTTAGACCATGATCGCTTACCATTACGTCATACGTTTCCTCGTTTGTCCTCTATCTCATATCTTAAGCCCAATTATCTTTAAATACAGCATCGGAACAACTTTCTCATAAAACATCGTGACTATGTTAATAACTATTAATTAAGATATAAAAAATGTAGAAGAATTTATAACAAAAACCCATTGTTTTCGACATTCATTCATAAAAATTGATCGGAAATTCACACCTTCGACCAATTTTTGTATCAATTTATCGGGTCATAGTCACAATAGCATTAAATTACATTTTAATTGTTTAATTGACGAAAATGGCGACGTCAATTTTAAAATTTTGTAGATTTTGTAAACTGCGCTTGTCGCTTTTCTTGTCGAAGCGTAGGTTTTTTGTCCAATAGTAATGGGTGGGCTCTCTGTAATAGTTTCATGGCATTATCTTTTGAATCTTTTACAAAAGTATCCATTCCCGGGTCGGTCAAACTATTACTAGGTTTTTAAAAAAATCTCAATAGTAGCACGGAGTCTGTAATAGGTATACATATATGGCAAAAGGCTCACCCCTTATTACATGGGACTCATAATATAAATAGTGTAAAGTGGGTGTTACTTGTACAGTGGCATAATGTGCACCTCTGCCTACCTCCCTTCATCAGGGATAAAAAGCGTGATGTTATGTGTCTTTTACAAAGGTAATAATTCATTAATAATTTCTAAATGTACTCTTTTAATAAAAACTTAAATAAAATTAATTAAAATAAAACTAAAAACAGCTATTTACATAAAGCATCGAAAAATTCGTCCGCATCGACGTCAGTGGGTAAAGTACCCAGAAGGCTGCCAGCATTGCCACGTTGTATGGCAATGCTTACTCTTTTAACGTCCATTTTGAGTGTAAGTCCATGACACTCCAGTATTAAACTATGTGTCTACTGAACATCAGAAAACTTGCTGTAATGCCCACAGGTTTTGATAGCAATGATTCTGGCTTATCAAACAATAGTGCTGCCCTCTCTTAAATGTTTCCTTTAGTCTTATGATAACCGCAAAAGGACTCAGTGGTAACTGAAATGAATTCTACTCTACTATCACTACACAGCTCGATATAAAAACAATATAAAATATATATACCTGAAGGAGGTACTATAAAACTTATTTACCATCAAGTACAATAGGTCAACTCGACTTATTACTTAGTAAACACTATAATTACGCACTTAGATCATAAATACAAAGTGGGTGAGCAGAATTGCAGCTGCAATGACGAAGTACAAAGGTCCCACCCATCACACTTGGTTCCCGAGATCGTATCGACATGACGAACATAAATTACGACGTGATTTACAAACTAGTAATTAAATACCATTTTGGTATAAACAAGTTTGAGTCTTGTATTACGAAATTTTAAATTATTTGGTTTGTGTCTATGAATAGTGTGCTTATTACGCCATCTCTATTTTAGAAATGGTAACTTTTAAATGTCAAATAATTGCACTTCAGTATTCCTAAAGTTATAATACTTCGATGCATATTTCAGCTGCGGCGACGATATAAATCAAGAAGCGGATTTATCATAGGCTCTTCTATGGTTGAAAATCTAACGATTTTAAGAGCCCATGAGTTATCATTAAGTGGTGACCTTAAACTTCCTTATAGATTATGTAATTGTACCTAAGCGCGACCGCCGAGCAAAGGGTACCCGTTTCTATTCCTAGGTCAGATAAAATCATAAAATTGTCACGATAACTCTATAAAAAAATCGATATAAAATTTAATAACAGTTCACCTAAACTAAACTCAATGATCTGACGAACAATACAAACTAAAATAACATACGGTGGGAAGTCACACACGCATATACTCACACTGTCAACACAATTATGAAATTCTCAGAACTGATACCTGTAATGGCATTCTTATCTACATGCATTGTTCATAAACACCATATGCACCTTTAGTCAAAAATCAAACAATAGCCCTTATCATAGGGGATGACTCACATGCATGGTACATACCTACACATGGTATTATACTTTTCACCTTACCACATAGGAAGTCGTGATGGCTTAGAGGTTAAGTAAGACATATGGTGCAAGTTCTAAACCTACCAACGACAAGTACCAATGTGATTTTTTCGAGTTATATGTACTTTCTAAGATCATTTAGACACCACTGACAAACGGTGAAGGAAAACATCGTGAGGAAACCTGGGTTTATAATTTCTAATTATAAGTTTGAAATCGCCAACCCGTTTTGAACAAGCGTGGCGATTAATGCTCAAACCTTCTCCATCCGAGAAGAGACTATGCTTAGCAGTGGGCACTTATATGCTGTTGATGATTATACTTTTTATTAAAAATCAATGAATCTTTCCAGGATCTATATATTCCTATGTTTTAAAAGAGAATCTACATAATTTTTCACAATCAAATTAAACCCTCGAACTTCATAGAAACATTTACCTACACCCATCCATCATTATACCAACCAAACTTTAAAACTAATTAACAATGTACAGTCAAATAAAAAAATCTCAGTCAAAACAGAGCCAATCAATCAATTCCACAATCAATCAGGCAATGACATACAAACGCCCACAGTACACTGAGACGAATAAATGCCAAGAAACATTATAGAATTATATTTGCAACGCGAAATTATAATTGCATTTCAAAATTATTAGGTGCAAAATTATATTATTGGCGGTGCAGGCCCGCGGCGTTCGTATCTGATGCGTACTCTTGCTTGACATGGTAAGTGATGAGCGGAGTGATAGAAACCTGCTTTCGTCGAGCGGGCACTGAATTATAGCTATGGACTGTACCTTTGTATCGGATTTGGAATTATGTTGAGATTTTCTATGTGTGTGTAGATGAGGTAGGATTTTGTTCGGTCTAGGAATATTATTAAACTGCAAGGAGTGAATAGAACCAAGTTTAGTGGAATATATTATTATATTATATTTTATTCACCTATTATTAAAACTGATTCAATACTGTATGTGCCATAAATCATTCATTCTTTTAAAAATTTGCTAACGATATCAAAATTAACAATAGATCTACGTAAGCATACACCATTATCTATTTTTCACCTCTCAGACTAGGTTTTTCCACTAACAGGTAAGGGTAATTTCTACAAAATTAGGAAAATCCTTTTATAGAAAGATAGTCAAGCAGTCTACTGAGAGCTATTGAAGATGAAGACGCGAAACGGCTAAACACAATTGAACTCATAAGTACACACACATACATACTCAGACATAGTAAATTCTGGTCCACTATAAGCAACTTAACAGCTTGCCGGGAATGGAATTGTGGAATACCCCCCTGCTTTTTATTTTTGACGAGCTGACGTTTGACCACTATCTCGCCTGGTGGTAAGCGATGATGCGGTCTACGATCCCAGAGTACGTCGTCCCATAACTAATCTATTCACTCGGGTCTTGAAGACACCCTTCAGGAAATACAGACTCTGGCAAAGAATTCCACTCCTTAGCAGCACGCACAAGGAAGCTTAACGCGAAGCGCTTCATGCGCGTGGGTGGGGCATCTACCATGAATCGGTGATGCTTCGCCGATTGTCTTGTGATACGATGATGGAATGGACTAGGACTTTAGTGAAGGCTGCCCATATGATAGCCCAGCAGATGGATGTCACGGGCTGGTTCTGTACGTATGTGTGTATAGAGGTAAATAACTATCTATCTACACCTTCAAGGAATTCCATACACCATGATGTACAGTGTAAACTACATGTGTATTCTTATACGTTCACAAATGTGTGTCAACAACGCGTATATTGGCACCGTTAGAGGCATGTGTAGACAATAAATCATCGGCTAAGGATTGCTACATCGGCCAACTGATTTTATAGACCTATATAAATAGCCGCAGGTCGACTTGCTGTTCTGTTATTATTATTTACCTATGTCTATATCTAACCCACTTATTATTATAAGTTTATTGAATTTCTATAAGTAATCTGCTAATGATTTATTGTGTGTGAAATTGTAATTCGAGTTTTAGATTGTTATGTAACTATACAATACATGTTTATTAGTAGTGAATGTTTCCTTAGACCAAATAGGACGTCTATTTCTTTTGTTTTTTTTTTGTGGGCGCCGAGACCGCCGAATGGCCATGGAGCTTAGGGTTCCTTGTTATAAAGCTACCCCAGATAATAGATGTTTTTAAAGATGAACTCTAATAATTGTATGTTGGTGTCTGAACTCTTGACAGAAGCTATATCTCGCGTATCAATGTTTATTCTGTAGGATTTACATTACTGCTTATCTTCTTATTTTTATTAACATGATATCACCATACCTACTTGTAACAAGTTTAGTGTAAAATACCTAAAAGGTGGTCCAAAAAAACCACGGCTTGCAACCCATCAAACCGTCGCATTCAACAAATTTTGCTCATTATATTTTTACAATAGTTTCAAAATACCTAAAATTCATACCTTCTCTTTAAAAGCAGAGACTGGTGCCTTTACCTCATGTTTCGAACAAAACAATTATGAAACAGTCCCTTATCAGTAGGGTAAATGCCACTATTGTTATCCCAGACGCCACATAACAAATTCTATATGTCGCACATACGGTCGACTTCAAAGGCGCCGACCTTTTTTCTGTGAAATCCTAACCTTTTGTTTGAATAAACATTTAAATCTTTTTAGCAATAAAAGCAGGTATTTGGCGAAGTGCGCCTTGTTTAATTAGTTTACCTTTTGTACTTATTCATTAGGTACTTTTTGACGCGAGACACCTCTTCCGCAAAACAAATTGATATTTTTTTCTAACCGTCTGTCGTGGTAGTTCGAGAAGTTGTCAGAAAACTTGCCATATCTTGATTATTTAGTGTTTGAATTTGATGTTTGCTTTTAGAATGGATAGAAGTAATTTAACATACCATATATATACCACCATTCACGTGAGTAAATTGCATTTTTAATTAATTTATACCATATATAAATTGTGTTTTTACATAACATAACGTCATCACGCCTTTTATCCCCGAAGGGGTAGGCCGAGATGCACATTACGGCACTCAATGCCACTGTACAATGTAACACCTACTTTTCATTATTTTATATTATGATTTCCATGTAATAGTGGGTGAGCCTATTGCTATATACTGCTACTACTGAGATTTATTTAAAAGCCCAGTAATACTTTGCCTACCCATACCCTTGTCCGGCAGTCGCAGTTGCGACCACTCGGCCAACGAGGTAGTCGGCAAGCATATATCAATTAAACCTAATAAATAATAGTCTCGTGAGCACGTGCTAGAAAAAAAAATGAACTATATTTGTACAAAAACCGCAGTTTCGAGTTGTAAAAAAAACCATGAAAACAATGCTCTGTACTACTAAATACATTACGGTGAACAATGGGGACCATAATGTCTATTGTCCGCTCAGGTACTGACAAGGGTTGAGGGACGCGTTCTTCCCCCACCCTTACAAATCGGTGTCTTTGAAGTGTTAACTGTTGTGTCACAGGATTAGCGAGATTAGTCGTGTCTTAGACACCTGATCCGAAGGATCACTGTTAACTAGTGACAAGCGAAGTGACACCAAGTGTATTTTATTTATATTGCTGTTTTTGTTTATTTCTTTTTTTATATGCGAACATAGTTCGTTTTGTTTTATTTTGTTAACCATATTATGGTGTTGGATGAAGAATTGAGTCAGTGTAACTCCAGTGAGTGTTGTGGTAACTCGTTGTCTAAGCTTGCTATGTTTGTGAAGCGATGGTGGGAGGATCGTAAGGTGAGTGAAAGAAATAGTTACCACTTAAAGATGTATCATCTGTAAAGTGTTACTATTTCTTTTTTAAGTCTTCAGTAATATCTTCTCATGAATTTCGGTAATCCAAGATAGTAGAGAATCTTATGGGCTGAAATCGCGGATTCAAGACACCTTATTCACCATTGAACATCTACGATTGAAGGAATCGCAGTTGCAGTGTTGTGAATGTATCTGTGTTTTCTTCTATAAAACGATAGCCTTCATGGTATTGATAATTCTTTACTGAATGTTATTATCAATTATTACAACAATCCTTAATCTAATACTGAGTACAGACTTAGCGCTTTCTCTACCAAACTTCTCGGTTTTATGCGTCTTTCATTCATCCGTTCGCCGGTACCTACCATCAGTTCAATACATTTTGAACGCTTTTGATTTAACTTTTGTCATAGCTTTGATCTACCTCTCGTTTCCGCGTATATCCAGAAATCATATCCTATTCGCTTACTAAATCTACACCTTTAACATTAAAATTAATAATTATTATATGAGGTACGATCTTGTTAATCATTTAACAACTAAAATTAATAAATAATAATAATAAAATGTTTATTTTTCAAAAGGAAAAGTTTTACAATTTTGTTGTATCCTGGACCTCACACTAGGATTCCCTGTGTCGTGAGGCCCAGGCTTCCTAACAAACAGTACAAAAAGAAAAGTTATCATAATACTTAAATATAAATGTGTATTTTATGTGTGTGTATTATATATAGTGAGTAAGTAGGTAAAAGTGTGTGTTGTGCGTGTGTGTGTGCGTGTGTGCATCAGTTTTATGTAGTGCGTGTGTATGTGTGCGTATGTGCGGTTAAAATTAACACATATATTCCTTAAACTTTTTCAATTTATCGTCGATTTTTTAACACTCTTAGGTATTAAGTTTGACAAACATGATCTTTGCTGTCACAACCAGCGTATTACCCTAGTCGTGTCAAATTCCTTAAGTCCTTTCCAAATGTCCGATCGATACTTGACCCCTGGCTTATCCAATTATTATTTAATACCCATAACGACGCCACAAGGCGCCTTAAGCCGAGATTAAGATAAGACCAGGGGACGGCACTATATCATTACCTATATTAAGTTTAAGCGATACTAAGGGATAATTTTATATAGAATCTAAATTGTATCAAGTATAAGTGGTGATGGAATATGAGGACAGATTACAGTGTCTCCGATATAAAGCCTATTATAATGTTTATTCTGTGATCGTGAACGCTTAAAAGAACTGGTGGCGTGATATTGGTTGATGGAAAAGTACACGTAATAACCTCGTAGGATGGTTGATGTGATTTTGTTTTTTTTTTGTGAACAGATAGGTTATTTTATGTCTGCAATATATGCGTACTTTAAGTTTTAAAGTTTTCTATAGCAAATTGATTTTATTTTATTGCTGATTTTTGTGTTATAACTTCGATTCCGTAGCGATTTAACTTACTCCGTGATAATGTTTCTAAGTTTTATGACTAATTAATTGATGTTTGCCAGCAAATATACGCATTATAATTTCGTCAGTATTTTAAAAACACTTCTCTAAAGAACCGGTGTACTTTTTCTAGCTTCACCGAAGTCAAATTTTAACTTTCTGGAAACAATAGAGTAAACCTTTAAGCGATCGGCTTTTGTTAAGAGGGGAGAATCATCTAATGACTGCTCTCGCCTGGGTGAGGCATAGGAGGGAGTGTCAGACCCTTACTGACTAAAACCACCCTGTTCCTACTCCTGCACTTCGCTGGAACCCCGGTAACCGTTTACGTTCTCCGCAGCTCCGTATCGGCATCAGCCCTATTGGGTCCCATCCGTGGTGTTCTGATGGCTCTTTGAGGCGCGCGCGGAACACGACGCTCTGTACGCTCAGGTTAAGCGATCGAATAGGAAACATTTTGAGTCACTTGATCTGCAATTTGATTCATATTTCAAATACACCTACGTTACTTAAATAACAGAAAGCGCTACATTATTTATGTTATACACTCTTAAAAAATATTCTACAACATAGGAACCTGCTTTCTCTGCACTGACTCATAACACAGTGCGATGATAATTAAATTAATAGGGGAACAAGATTTGGCCACCCACACACTGATGCTATTGTTGTAACGACAAATATTGATACAATCGCCATGATCGATGTCGACATGGCATGTGTTACATGTAAGTACTATTTGTATGTGTCGTTTGTCGAATGGTCTGATCTAAGGGTTTTGATTCCCGAGTCGTGTAATTGAATTCATATTTGTAACTATAAGTCAAAGCATTTCTTTCAATTAAACAATATTTTGGTACTTTTGAAACGTCAACAAATACAAAATAAATAAAAGTCTTGGTGGTAGGTGTTAATTCGAATGGAGAAGAACGAGCAAGAAACTCCATTCGTTACTCTTTCGTCGATATTAGAGTTGTAGTTTAGTCAGAAATCGTACTTAGTTATGACAATAGACTCGCCTTCTAATCTAACACATGAGACTTGTATTATAACTGGCTAAAGGTACACAGTATGTGTATCTTTAGTTACTCTCCTTAAAGGGTCAATAGGTTAGGGAACCTAAGTGGCTTGACGTTGTGGTAATATTGTACCGTCATTAAACAAAAATAGTTGGTGTAACTAATCAACAGATGGCGTGCTTACAAAAATCCTACATCGCACAAGCAAAGTTTGCATGATATATGGAACGATATAAAACTAGACTGATCATCGGTACCTATTTTTTTAGATATATTTATTCAAATTAATTTAAAAACATTGGCATTTTATATTCAAATGAAGCTACCATTACAGAGAATTAACTTAAAGGGTAACTCTGATAATCTATTTCATAATTATTTCCCAATCGTTAGACGTTAGATGTTTTTAAAGTTAAATACAAACGATATATACTTGGCTATTGGTTGCAAATACTATTGGACCCAATAATTGGCGTTCTGGACCAACTACCAAGAAATTGCGAGGCTCGCGCACACGTCGACTAGTTACTTACCCTGTGTATGCATAATTATTGGTTACTAGGGTAAATTTGAATCTAAGGTACTGTTGCATTCAAAAGTGGTTGTTGTAGTAATACTGTTGTATGGGTTTGGGTTTTTATTTGTAACTTTTGTTTCTATCAATCATAGATAACATAACATCACACCTTATATCCCCGAAGGGGTAGGCAGAGGTGCACAATACGGCACTTAATGCCCCTGTACAATCAAGTACAATGTAACACCCACTTTTCACTATTTATGTTATGAGTCCCATGTAATAGGGGGTGAGCCTATTGCCATATACCGGGCACATTTCCAGACTCCGTGCTACTACTGAGATTTTTAAAAACCCAGTAATACTTTGCCCGACCCGGGAATCGAACCCGAGACCCCTTGCCCGGCAGTCACACTTGCAGCCAACGAGACAGACAATCATAGATGTACTTACATTTTCCTTTTTTCTCACATTTCTTGCAGTTTCAATTATTATTTAAGTAGTATGGTGAATGTAATTAAAGCTAAAATGTACTTGATTAATTTATACGGTATAAAACGGGAGTTTACGGACTTAAATTGAAATTAGCGTATAGAACTAAATATTTCCCACAAGAAAACAGCGGGGCGGTGCATCTCAGGTGCGTGCTTAAGCGGTCATTAAGCAAAATGGCAATGCATTTTGCTCTGCAGAGTACTCAAACCTGTTTACTTACTTCATGTATCATACCCTGAACAATATGGCATGTCACGACAGCGAGCCAACGAAAAACGATCGCCAAGTACACATTTAAAAAACAAAAAAACTCATCTCACGACCAACTGAAATGAGACCATATATCAAGGTAATAAGATACACTTTGTTATGTTACATTTACAAAAAAATGCCATGAAATATGTCCGCTTGTCCATTGCTCTGTCGGTAGGCGTGGGTCAGATGTGCGCAAATTTATGATTTTCGTGTATAGCGTTGGAAAATAGTCGTTTTTGTAAGGTAATAAGAGTAATTTTTGGTGTTTGGCTATGTATGCGGGTCAGTCAACTCGGGTTAACATCGCGACTTTGGTTTTTGCGTCTCAAAGTGTTTTTGTGAACTGTTGACAATTACTCGTTCCGTTCCCACATTCGAAGACCGCCTTGTAAGACAACACTTAAAGCAGATGCAAAAAATCACTGTCTAGACTTCATTTGTTTTATTTTGCTTATTTGGTCGTTCGAAATGAGAAGCAAAATACATAAGCTTGGGGAAATATTATGTACATCACTATATGCCCAGATTCTTACTCGTTAATGTAATATTTCGACTGCACGGTTGGCGCGGTGGCTGGGTATCTGGCTGCCATGCAACGTGCCGCGGGTTCGATTCCCGCACGGAGCAACTCTGTGTGTGATTCACAAAATTGTTGTTTCTGGTCTGGGTGTCATGTGTATGTGAACTTGTATGTTTGTAAATGCACCCACGATATAGGAGAAAATCCTAGTGTGGGGCAAAGTTTAAAAAAAATATGCCTAAATTATACAATTAAGTCCTAGAGTACAATTTTCGGTTCTTCTAACTGCGAATTTTCAAAAATGTTTTTCGCTTTGATTGGTTAATAATACGGTTTATATATAATGATAATGACACATTTTAATAATAGGGTCTAAACCATATTATTAAAACTCGTCGTCAACTGCGAAGGTCGTGGTTATTGACCGTAACCAGGGGACAGGGGTGCCTTATAATACAGAATTTAATTATAATTAACTTTGTAAGCAATATTTTCTAAATCACCAGAATTCCGATACTTCCCGTGCTTTTACTAAGAATTTCATAAACTGAAAACAGTCAAATTCTATTTAAAAAAAAAACCTCGCTTAACACTCACGTTTATGACCGATCAACAAACAAAGCAAAGTTTCATTTTTTAATCACAATAATCCTTAAATAACACAACAGATTACTTTCTTAAAACATTCATAATATAAAAATAATAGTTCGTAAACGCAATATAATTTTCTAAACATCTGTTGAATTATATCGTCATAAATATGATCACTCCAATTTTCTCAAACTCTTAAACGTCCTCTTAACATAACGACATACCAACATACAAAAAAATATTTCGAACAAAAACGAAAATTTTAATGTTTCACGTCCCAAAGATCTACCGAAACGACTTAGAAAACACGAAACGATTTCGGATTCAGAAAACTCCATAATTATTTCCTTTACAAAAGTCTCCAGACGTGTATTTTTCTAAAAGACACTTTATTACTCGACATTTATCCATTTTGGGGCGATAGAACCATATTGTAATTGGTCTGCTTTCACGAAATTGCCCCCGACTCGCCGACTCCAAACGACATTTTAATTTCGGGGACGCGGATAATGATATGGCAACCCCATCGGTTACACGCCGTAATCGAGTGACAAACTGTTTTAAAAAGCGACAATCAAGTTCATTATAAGTGAATGCTGGGTGTTGCCAGCTATTAAGCGTTTAAACGAATTTTAAAATGAGATGTGGTTTTTTAATATCATGTCTGTTTAATGCAATTTTATAAACTTTGGACAGATTTTTCGCTATTGAATATGTGTTGTAAAAGATGTTGTATTTGTTTATTATTTATTGTTTTTTGTTTGACACTAATTCGAATTACCATTAACTATTCGGCCATAATCAGATATTATGAATTTAATTGTTTACGTACAACAATTGTGTCCCACTGTATACAGATGTATAATAAACTATAAAACCGCTAAATTAATTTGTCAATGTGCCTCTACGAACACAAGATCCGGCAGGCGATAGTAGATTAACTTCAATTGTTCGCAGTATTTCGTTACAAAACATTTTCATGTATTTCTCACGACATTAAAATAATAATTACAGACAAGTTTTTGTTTAACTCGTCGAGTACCGGTTTTATAGACACAATTAAAGAACAATAGGTCGCGGTCACCGGTGACCGCTTGGTGTTTGACAGTTTAAACCTGCTCAAAGGCACCTGAGGAGTGGTTGAATTAACTTGAAAATTTAACTTTGACATCACGAGGCGGCCCCGAATGCTTACCAAATGAATAGTAATTTAGTATTCGGATTAAATCGTTTCAAACACGCGACACAAAACCACTTTTCTATTCTCGACTCGAAACCGTCATTTTACACAATTTTACCCAATTGCTCCAACTTCTGAGAATTAATTTGATATTAGCCTTTGAAAACGCAAGGTGTGGTTTTGTGTCGGCCTGATAGTTATTTTGAAGAGGGATTTGAACAGCCAGTGTTTAAGTCTTGCTCTAGACTCGATAATCTTTTAGAATTAGCCGCGCTTATTCATAATTTTATTAAATGGACTGTTTTGTAAAGGCGACTCATGATATGTTATTTCGTTTTATAGACGGTAAACGATTTCAAAACTTAGGATACCGGAATTGTTTTACTTATAACTGATGATTTGCAATTTTGCATATTCAATTTTTGGAAGCGAACTGATAATTTGTTTTGAATAAAATTTATATTGTAAACTGGCTTATGCAAAAGTTGTCTAAATCTTGCAAATTGCAATAAAATATACAGACCCCTCCAAACCAACCTACACCATTTATGTACAGAAACTACATTTTACGTTTTATTTGTTTCAGGAATCACAATCAGGCAGCGCTGAAAGATGGGGTGGTCGTGGACCAGAGCACAATATGGCTCTCCAACAAATACTCAAGCTCCAAGAAGCGAGAGCCCTCCACAAGACCTCCCTTCTTCCCCTTTACAAGAAGAATGGTCTTCCGTCCCCTCCGGGAACTGGCTACGACAAGCCTGACAAGAGACCAGAATATCCTGACCCTCGAGCTTTCGAGCAATCGAAGCTTGAGGCAGAGTTCAGAAGACTAATGGAACATTCAAGTAGAGATGTTCGCCATGACGAATCCTTGAAATACTTCCAACATGTGATGGAAGCTAAACAACATTACGATTATTTGAAAAGTCTACAAGAAAGAGACACAAGAAGCAGTCCTAGAGAAAATCATGCAGAAGTAAAGAAAGAAACAATGTCACCTAACAATAACAGATCGACGCCCGTGCAACAATCGCCTCCTCATAGAGTGTCGTCAGCCGAAGCATCTCCTAACCACAGCATCCGCCTATCTACCTCATCCAGTCCTCTCTCAACCACTAGTCCAATAAACTCATCCCCTTTAAGTCACTTGCAAAGTATGCAGCCTTTTGATTTTCGAAAAAACAAAGCAAATGAGAACAACGACAAGGAAGAAAACAGAAAACCCTATGATTTAGCGTCAGCGGAAAAAGCCACCATGGATTTAATGAGGAGTCAGTTCTTCAATTTTCCATTGCCGTCTAATCTGCCTATTCCTGCCATGACGATGCCTTCGGCGTTCAATCACCAGGCAGCAATGGTAGCCGCACTAAGTCAAAACCCAATGGGCTTAGCCTCTCTTCAAGCTCTTTTACCGCAAATGTCAGCAAAACCTACAGAACCATCGGAAAATAAAATTCATAGCAATGGCAAAGCCAGAAGTGAAGATCCAAAATCAGACGATGACAATGTTTTGAACCTAAGCAAGGACTCTTACGCTGAAGCAGCTCAAAATTCCAGGAATATGATGTTAGGTAAATGCATCAGTCCACCAAAACGCCAATGGGGTGCATCACAGATGCCACTGAATTTGGGTACGCATTTCATTAACCCAGCAACTGGTAAAAAGAGAGTGCAATGCAATGTATGCCTGAAAACTTTTTGTGATAAAGGAGCTTTGAAGATCCATTTTTCTGCTGTTCATCTACGTGAAATGCACAAGTGTACTGTTGAAGGATGTAGTATGATGTTCAGTTCCAGAAGATCAAGAAACCGTCACAGTGCAAATCCTAATCCAAAATTACATTCACCCCACTTACGAAGAAAAATCTCACCACATGACGGTAGAACGGCTCAAGTTCACCCAGTGCTTATTTCACCGCATAGAGCTGGTTTGAACATTCCTCCTGTGATTAATCCGATGCATCCGTTCGGATCTTACCCTCTATTAAACCCACCTCACAATATGGGCCAGTTCCCGACTAGTTTGCCTCTAGACTACAAGAACAATATGAATATGAACTTTTCACCATCTTTCGATCACAGTCATCCAATGAGGCGTGAATCGGATTCTGTGGAAAATAAAGACCAAGATGGCCAAGGAGACTCTGATGAAGATGATGGTATTGTAGTAGTAGCTGGTGACGATGATGATGAAGATGGTGAACATATCGACACAAGCGATTATTACCTGAATTTGAACAAATCTATAGGCTCTATAGATGATTCTGAAACTGACTTTGATCAACGAAGTGTAAGTGATAATAATGAAGTAGCTGACAATAGAAAAGACGAAGCTGCTAGTCCCGAAGTAATGAAAAGAAAACGCAAAAATCTTAATCCAACTCGTTTACAGAATCATTATATCACAGAAAATGGTATAAATGACCAAAAATCGACTGCTGATCGTCCAGATAAAGATGAAAATGAATGTGCTTTAGATTTGAAAAGAGTTAAAACTGAAAATGATGAGGAAGCTTCTGCAAATCAAGTGCCAATAAACAATGATGATCTTCCTCAAGAGAAATCTGAAAAAACCAAATCTGAGTCACAACAAGAAACATTACCTGCACCAGTCATCAAAGACGAACCTACAGACATGAGTTATAACATTCAAGATCTGAGAGTAAAAGATGAACCAATTGATAAACAAGACGTTTATAAACCCACAAACGATCGCACCAATGAGGAACACTTTTCATCAGAAAATGCTCTTAAAAGACTGGAAAGTTTGTCAAAAGGTGACTTTCCTAGTGTTAATAAGAAACACGACTCTTCTTTGGGCCCTTACAATCTAACAATGAATGATTCGATAGATTACTCTGACAGATCTCGGTCTTCATCTGTATCAAGTTTTGACTACAACGCAGAAGACACTCATGGCCAAATATTTGGGCACTTTGACAACGGTTTCTTTGTCAGCACACCTGATGTTCCCATGGACCATGAAAACCCCCGTAAATGCACTGTATGTGGAAAGATTTTCCAGAACATTTACGTCCTCAAAACTCATTACCAAAATGCACATCTCAAGCTTATGTACAAATGCAACGTTGATGGATGCAGAGCGGCTTTTTCATCGAAACGAAGTAAAGACCGCCACAGTGCAAACATGAGTTTACACAGGAAAATAGAAGAATATAGAATATCAGAGGAATCTTCGCGTTTTCTGGATAAGATACGAGAGCAAATGGAATTGATCTCACGGTACAATGAAGAAGAACGAGCTGTTCCTTACGTAGAATCTCATTTATACTACCGAGCAAAAGAATCTGATAAACTCAAGAACCATTTAAGTCAACAACTGCCGTTCCCGTCTCCTTATCCTCACTTACAGTTGCCAGACACTTATCTGAGCAACAGAGATATGTTTGCACAGCATTCGTTCCTATTCACTCCATTTGGTATGCTTCCTAATTTCCCTCCGATTCCATTAGGGTTCCTACCACAAAGTTTGAATGCTTTCGGTTGCCAACCAAATTACTCTCCACCGCATTCGAGGAAGTTGAACTACTGTGTGGAGGACGAGGCACCACGACCAAATAAGGACGGGAGCTATCCATGCCGGGGTTGTAAAGACTGCTTCAAAGACCTGTCTAGCTTGAAGCACCACTGTGAAAGTGTACACGTGCAGTCTTTACATCGGTGTACAGTCAGCGGTTGCAACGCTGCTTTCTTTTCAAGAACTAAGAGAAACATTCATTATGAAGCTCACATGGCGCGCAGACAAAATGGTCGTATCCACATGAATCCATCGTGACCTGAATAGTTCTATTGACTGTAGTCGAATCTCCAGTGCATTTGTGATTTCATTTAGTATTACCAAATAGTTTTGTAAGTCTAGGCAGTACCAGTACCTTTATATTCTCAGTAAGATGAGGTGGTATCATTGTGGTGAATGGCTCAGCTGTTTGTGAAACTGTGGTGAATACTGCATTGTAAATAATATAGTAGAGATTGATCGCTTAGACTTTTCCATTTGTTGTAGCATGGATAGTATTTTAATGTAATTCAACATTCCATAGTAATAAATCGTGCAATAAAATGTAAATAAATAATAGTGTGTAATGTACAAAGTTTTGGCTGATGTAGTTTTGATGATGAATGTAAATGTATGTGCTACAATGTCGTATGTATAGCTGTGAGTTTAAATGTATCCTTCTAAATTTATTTCTGTGGTCTTTTAGCACAAGTGGGGATTTGTAACGATGTTATCTGTAATATCTTTATTTACTTTGTCTTTTCCTTTTCTTCCTTCTCTTCTATTTCTTGTTCTTCTTGCTTCATAACTCGTTACAAAAAATCCCAAAGCGACTTTAAATTAATTATACACTTTTGATCGTATCTCCTAATGTTTTGGTGCTAAAATATGACAAATTATAATTTCATTTTCTTTATGCATATTATTATATTTCTCGGTGTTTCTCAATGAAATCTTCGTGTATTGTGAGATATTACTTATAGAGTACCTACTTTAAATTGTATAAGTACCAAAAAGTATTAAAAACCTTTAATTGTTAAGATTGTATTGTATAAACGAAATATACTTCCTTTTTGCCAAACGATTATAAGTATGTAATAAAAAAGTTTGGAAAAATCTATTTTACTTTTATTTATATCTCTCTCAATTTTCTCATATACCTCGCTGCCCAGTACGATGCAAGCTGCAACTGCTCGTTAGTCGAATAGCGAATACGGGTTCGATACCCGGGTCGGACAAAGCATTATCGGTGGTTTTACTGTTTTACAATTAGAATGTATTTAGAAGTATCACATAGTCTAGCATTACGCCCGGAATATGGCAATTAGCATACCGACTATTACATATAGAATTCTAAAAACACTAATGGGGTGAAAATTGGGTGTTACATAGTAAATATAATAATTATGTGTATCTTTATATTAAAAGTTTCGTGAGACATACTGCAATGTGGAGCAATGAGGTAGACGACTTGTTCTTAGGAATAACTAATTGAGTCTAACCTATCAGTGGGTGGGTAACCTATCAGTACTTATGATAGTTATAATCAGATCCTGACTTCATGGAAATGGGACCCTCTCTCCCTGTCAAACAAAACAAGGATTTTGGAAATCGGTTCATAAATGGCGGAGTAATCGGTGAACAAACAAAAAAAATAATCAGACGATCATAGTACCTCCTCTTTTTTTGAAATCAGTAAAAAATTGAGTAGCCTTTCAGTATTCGGGCAAAAGTCTAACTACCTTGTAATATGATAGACGAAGTACTTACGTATAATATAGGTCTCATGGAGTCGCTGCGGGCTGGACGCTTGCTGATTTCAGCTGACCGATGTGTAAGTAACTGGAGAAGGCCTATTTCCAACGGTTGATATCTTCTAGGAGATAATGGTAAAGATGATAATAATGAGTTGGGTGGCTCAAAAATTAAGTAAGATTACGAAGACAGGTAAAACAGAGAATTTGAAAATTGTATAGAATCTGAGAAGACAGAATACACAGATTTAGTATCTGTTGATTCTGATCATAGTATAGGTACCTATTAGTGAAATATAATCGTAAGGAATGACAACCTATTCAAAATTCGTTATATACAGTTTGTGCGAAATCACTTCAATAAGACAACGAAGAAGTAAAAGTTACCGAACTGATTATTTTGATTTCAAATTGAATTCTCACTGTTTGGTTTTACATTACACAAAGCATTATATCTAAATAGAATTACTTACACTGCAAACTACTTAAAACTGAGTAATAGATTTATAATAACAGAAGTAGGAAAAAGCAAAACTGCAACTTAATAACCAGACATTAAGTCATAAATTTTAATAAGTTAATAAGCAAGCAACCGAAATTAAGGACCCCATATTGCTAAACTATGCTACAGATAATAAATATAGGCAAAGAACATCTCGCAAACAGCCTGGGGCTAAAAAAGTTAAAATTCCAGAAGCCGAACAACACTAATTTGCGTGATTTATGAATTTCAAATAAGGAATCGCGATTTTATGCGTTTTTGAGCACAAATTGAACGAGAAAGGGTTAGTTTAAATGAAGGGGAATGTTAAGATGGAATATTTTATGGGAAGAAATATTTAGAAATGTTTCACGGAAAGTCTTAGGAGCTTGTATTATTATTCGCTATGGTTGTAGCCCGAGGCATTTGTCTGTGTGATGGTTTCAAGCCCACGTATTTATAGCTGGAAAATAACTTTTGTTTTTCGGACTGAAAATTAATTAGAGTTTTGGGTGTGACAATTTTAAGTTCTGTGTTGCTGACTGCCTCGTTGGCCGAATGGTCGTAAGTGCGGCTGGCGGGCAAGGGATCTTGGGTTCGATTCCCAGGTCGGGCAAAGTATTACTGGATTAAAAAAAATATCAGTAGTAGCACGGAGTTTAGAATTTTACCCGGTATATGACAATAGGCTCACCTCCTATTACATGGAACTCAAAAATGAATAATGAAAAGTAGGTGTTACATAGTACAGTTGCGTTGAGTGCCGTAATGTGCACCTGTGCCTACCCTCGGGGGATAAAAGGCGTGATGTTATGTTATGTTATTTGTACATTAGCATGTTATTGTAAAGCAATTGTAACAGCAACTTTAATCTTACTAAGAACTTGCACCCCATCCCTATAGGTATTAAAGTTACAACAGGACCAAGTTCGGTCAACCTATTAGTTGAATTTCAGGAGTTAGAATTTAACTATAGCATCTACTACCTAGTTAACTTTTTAATGAATTGATATGACCTGGCTACACAATGCTTGGCTTTGGATTACTTCGTAAACTACTTCGAAGAACTTTCGGATGTAGTAAGGAGGTAGTAGTGCACCTAATAATCTATGGTATCACATAACATAACATAACATAACATCACGCCTTTTATCCCCGAAGGGGTAGGCAGAGGTGCACATTATACCACTGTACAATGTAACACCCACTTTTCACTATTTATGTTATGAGTCCCATGTAATAGGGGGTGAGCCTATTGCCATATACCGGGCACAATTCTAGACTTCGTGCTACTACTGAGAATATTTAAAAACCCAGTAATACTTTGCCCGACCCGGGAATCGAACACGAGACCCCTTGCCCGGCAGTCGTACTTACGACCACTCGGCCAACGAGGCATCTATGGTATCTTGGTAACAAAACCTTATTTATGGTATGGTAAGTAGTATCCAACACCGTCTTTACCATGAGGGTACTCAGGGCCCGTGCCCAGGGCCTCCTCAGGGGGCACGAAGGACACACACCCGCGGAAATCGAAACCGCTACACGTTGCGCGGCACTATTCGATTCCCACATGGCTTTCGATTTCCGCACAGAGCTAATCTTTGTGTGATCCACTAATTATTGTTACGGGTCTGGGTGTCATGTGTATATACTTAAAAGAGTGGTTGTTAAGACGTTGTTATCCTTACCCCAGATGTGGTGCGACTGACAGTTTGAATTATTCCAAAACAAATATTCTCGCAGTCACTAGGATATGTCGCGGAGAACCTAACGGGTAACCGGGGCTCCGGCTCGACGTGCAGGAGAAGGAACGGGGTGGTTTTTAGACAGTAAGAGTCTGACACTCCCTCCCGCCTCACCCAGGCGGGGGCAGTCATTCGATGATTATTCACCCTTTAAAAAAAACTCACTAGGATACAGGTTATATGAACCGGTCAAGTTTGTTTGTAAATACACCCACGATACAAAAGGGCCCCGAATTGTTGTTTGCTCAAGGGCCTCAGAGTAATGTAAGACGGCCCTGGTAGTACCAAACGTATTTAAGTATCTACGATTTGATTTTGAAATCCCGATTGATCTGATATATCATCCTTGCCGACGCGACGTCTGCAGAAAAAATCAGGCTAAAGGGCTCGTACACAAAAATGTGCGAGCTCCCTGTACGCATCGCAAGAACTTGCGAATTGATTCGCATCGCGCATCAAAATCTTATCTTCCTTAAACCTTCATTGTTTCTTTTTTCCTGTATCTCCTAAGCAATAACAAAAGTGCACATTTCTTTTTACAATCCATGTGACGACCTAGTTTTCAATTTAATAAACGGTTAGTACGGTTGACGGTCGTCGAAGAAATGGTCACCCTGGGTGACGCCTTGTCGCACGAAATCGCATCGCAGCAATTCGCATCGTAATTTTTTGCGTCACAAATTAGCATCGCATCGCAGTTTTGTGTACGAGCCCTAAAGTGGGAATAAGTAAGTACAAGCCGAACATCAGTGGTGTATTGCTCTTTAAGTTAAATTAGAAGAAAAGTGCTGTAAGTGAAAACAAGCCAAGTATATCTATGCACTATGCTTCGAAACAATACTGTTAAAATTATAAGTAGCAGCACTGTCTGCTGACACTGAACTGCCAACCTCATAAAACATTACGAACAAAATGAACAACAGCGCCCTAACACAAAATTCGAATTGACGCGCGACGGCCGTCTCGTTGACATTTGACATTTCGCCTGCCTGTCACTCGTGACATTTACCGTGACGTCATTCACGCGACACGTCATGTCATGTCAGCGTGACATCGCGTGCGGTACTACGTTAATTTTTAAACTTTCTATTATCGCACGTTGTTTGACTAAAGTGGGGAAACTTTTGTTAATTGATTTTTTTTTTTTTAGTTTTTGTGTTGGGGTAAATATTGTGTGCTAGTAGGCTTGATTTTGTTTTTCTTTTTGTATTTGATGGGACGACGTATGACCACTATCTCACCTGGTGGTAAGCGATGATGCGGTCTACGATGGAGCACGTCGTCCCATAAGCAATCTATTCACTCGGGCCCCGAGCGTACGGCGCGTCGCGTTCCGCGCGTGCCTCAAAGAGCCATCAGACCATCACAGATGGGGCCCAATAGGGCCAATGCCGATTCGGAGTCGCGGAGAACCTAACGGGTAACCGGGGCTCCGGCTCGACGTGCAGGAGAAGGAACGGGGTGGTTTTTAGTCAGTAAGAGTCTGACACTCCCTTCCGCCTCACCCAGGCGGGAGCAGTAATTCGATGATTTTCCCGCCTTAAAAAAAAAAAATCACTTGGGCCTTGAAGACACCCAGGTCGATTCAGGAAATTCGAACTCCAAACTACAGACTCTGGCAAATAATTCCACTCCTGCTATACCTACAATAGAGTAGATGAAATTTTATTTTAATGTCCTTCTGGTAGAAACGAATGTTTCCCATGATATATTGATTTGAAATATCGCATGACTTTTGTGTACGATTTATACCTACTTTAAAATGACGTAGCTACCTCCCACTCCTAAACTTCACATTCATGAGCAGCATTCCGCAACCTGCGACGCGACGACTGCAAAATAAACAAACTGCGACAAATAATTACGTGAGTAAATCGAAAAACATAATAATTATTTTAGTATGTCTCACGAAGGTTATAATTATAACATAAAGTTTAAAAATAAATATATTATGAACGCTTAGCCTTAATAATCCATGCTTAGTAAATCTTAATTCAATTCATCATTCGCTGTAAGATCTCAAACGGT